TAGGTTGGTGCAAAAATAATGACGTAATAATGTCGTTTTTTGACGTATTTTTTAACGTCAAAAAACGTCATTATTACGTCATTATTTTTGCACAAACCTAATAGTAAGAAAGGTAAGTAAGAATGCGTTGTTTTGGTGTTAGGAACATTGTGGTATGTTTGGGTCAGTGTTTGTGACTAACGAAGTTTAATATTAAAGCAGAAGAAGACTGTCCTTTTCCCCATTCCCCATTTTGTAAGATTCTTCCCTGAACATTAAATCCTAACCTTTTTAAGTCAAATTAATCTGTTATGAATCCTTCTTAGCATAATAATCCCCTGTTACTTTTTAATTAAGTTTGCCACTCTGTGTTTTTTTTATAAATATTTTTATAGTAATTGTTCGAGGTCTTCGCTCTTATACAATAGCCAATAAATTGTACATATGGGGACTAGTTATGATTTTCATAGAGACAATGAGGTATTATGGTAAATGTATTAAGAAAGGTAAGTAAGAATGTATTGTTTTGGCGTTAGGAATATTGTAGTATGTTTGGGTCAGTGTTTGTGGCTAGCTAAGTTTAAATTTAAGACAGAAAAAGAACGTACTTTACCCCATTCCCCGTTTTGGCCTTGTGCCACATTTTGTATTTTAAATAATAAATATCGCTCATCGCTTTGGTACCTAGACTTTATGAGTAATGTGCAGTGCTAGACTGGCGTCGAGATATCATCAATTTAAAGATGAACTAGATAGATGCAGCCGTAACTTCTATGCTAACAGTTTCTTTTCTCGCACTTCTCGCGTGTGGAACTCCCTTCTGGCCCCATGCTTTCCAACCAACTTTACTCTGCAAAAAAATAAATGCAATGTCAATCGCTATCTACTGTCCTCCTAATTACACTTTTCTCTTCCGACCCATTATTAATGCTTCTTTTCTTTATTCTTCCACGCCCTGTAATTCCTTGTGTCTTAGTGGCTTTACAGCCTTGCTTTGGGTGATAACGATTTAAAAAGACTCTTTAAAATCGGTTAGATTATACATCCAAAATATATTTAAAAAATTAGACAAAAAATGTAATTTATTTTTTAATTTAGAATTCTCAGAGTTTCTGGTTCAAATGTGTAGTCGCATCAAACTTTTTCCACTTTGTCCTATTAATTTATCTTAAAACTCTTATTTTAATAACAGTAATGAAGTAATCGAGTGTATTAATCTCTTTTGTTTTATGATTACCTCCCTTTGGAGAACTCTTTCGTTTGTAGAGGACTATAAATAGTCACTACGCTTGTATCAATTATTCTAAGCAGAAAAAGAAGCTTCCTTAAGCTTTCTCTTGCTCTCTTGTTTTTACAATAACTATTCTTTACACTAAACAAATTCTTTGAGTAGCCTCCATACATTATATTTTGTGAAATTTAATAAATAAGAAAGACGCTCATCGTAAGTTGAGCAGAAAGGCTCGAACTTGCTCTAGCGACCAACCGACTTTTACGTCGCAAAATATTGCTTGTTATTCAGCCGCTGATTAGATTTCGTCAGTTGCAAATTTGATATTGTCTTGTTGATTTTTGTGACCTATGTTTGCTAACGTCTCATACCCTGTTACTAAATGCTTCATCGTTTAACAAGTTCGATGGTAACACGATAAGGAGTTAATCGCTGACGTTTCATGATTTTTAGAATTGGGGAAATGGGGTATCTTCTAACAGACCGTTAGAAGAAATACTAACCCGATAAAGAGATGTGGTTACCCAGCGTCATTTCAATTCGTCATTGTTTGCGTCTCCTGTGTCTCGTACGCGTTGTGTTCTCGCCTTGTCCGCGTCATGCTAGTCGTGTCTAATCAGTTTTCTATCCCTCTTCATTGACAGGATACTGAACCAAGAATAAAATTGCTTCAAGGTGATTCGAACACGTGGAAGTAGCACTGGTGGAACTAAAGAGAACTAATCTGAACATTGTCCATGGAAATAGCGATGGAGTAGCGTCAAGAATGCAACGTTGAGGGAGGTATTGCCTGGGGGGTGGTCGTCTTCGTTTCAAATTCAATATGCTCCCGACGGCCACACCCCAAAATGCAGAAGGGTCGTACATACAAAATTAGAATAAAAACATAGATGCAGAATACAGAATTTATAGCAAAATAAGCTCGTCGTCTTAAGAGAAAACAGCACATTTTTATTAATCATTTCTCCATGATAGGTGATAAAGCCACTAAGAGGTAAAAGGTTACTGAGAGCGCTAGAAACAGAGAAAACGTCACAGAGAAAGGGCAATAAAAAAAAACAGAATTTAAGGAGATTGGAGATGACGATTGAGGTTGCATCTAAATGTTGCATATTGTAGTAAACAAGAAAACAAGAAGACTAGTTCAACAGTAAAAGATGAGACCTAACTTCCAATCTAGTACTACGCTTGAATTTATGAAGTCGAGGTATCAAAGAGGAAAGATCATCAGAACAATTGCTATAAAACTATTAATAGAAAAGACACAAGTACAATGATTGAAGCCGAGACGCTGATGTGAAACGGCAATAAAAGGAGCAGAATTCAAGGAGAAACATGATGATAGATATTGTATGTAGAATAGCGTAACACAGGTGAGAAGTGCGAAAGAAGAATCTATAAGAATAGAACTTACGGATACACTTAACAATGTCAACAATAAACAGATGAGACGTAGCTGCTAATCTAGCTTTCTTCTTTTTATGTGCCATGTCCTTTCAGGGCGTAGGCGATCATGGCTCTCCGCCTCCTTCTATCCCTTGCAGATCTCAACAAGTTCCTTCCCTCTGCTTCCTCCCCAGGCCACGTTCTGTTATCCACCTGCTCAAGCCCGTCAGGTATGCCATGCACTGCTTTCCGCTGTCTCTCTTTCCCTCTATTCGACCTGTGAGTATCAGATTCTCCAGGCCCTCCTTCCTCATTATGTGTCCCAGAAACTTCAGACTATGCTTAAATCCATGAAGTCGTGTTCCCAAAGAGGACTTCTCATCAGAAAATTTGCTATGAAACACACATAGCAAGGACACATGGCACAGTGGATAAAGGCGTTGGTTAGGTCCAGTGACATGACCCAAAGAGTGTGAGTTCAATACCTGGTTAAGGCGATGTAGAACTTTCAGAGGGGAATTAACAGGAGATAACTGATAACTGACATCCTTTATACATGGCACGTGGAACTAGAACAGTCTACAACAGTGAGCGAAATAAAGAATCCAGTTCGAAATTCCAACCACATGAAGAAGGCCGAAGCGTACAACGGCTGAAACGTTGTAATAAATATGGCGACAAAGATGAAGACAATAGTCTGAATAATGCAAATATTGTACATCTCCAAAATACAAACAGATACTGTTGATTCATACTTAGTATTCTGGTTTTAATATATTTCCATTCAATATAACCAATTATTGGATTTATTCTCGAAATAGTAAAATTTTGAAGTCATTTTGTAAAATAACGAAAATTAGGTATTTCTTTACATTTTGTTCAGACGAATTTTAAATCTAAATGATCAATAATGAATAAAAGCAGTGATTTCTAATTTTGATTGACAGTATTCACCATATTAAACCCCAGCATTCGCACCGAGTGCAATGTTGATGTTCTTAAGTGAAAAATCAACTTACCCTTCCCAGGTAGTATCTCTCCCAACGTTACATACTTGACGCTAGGCCATCGCTATTTCCATGGCAAATGTTCAAATTAGCTGTACTCTTTAGTTCCACCAGTGCTAGTTCCCCCTAGTTCGAATTGCCTTGAAGCGATTTCCTTCTTGGGTGGGTATCGGCTAACGAAGGGTGATGGAAAACTCAGCAGCACCGGAATGGATAAGACTTCCGCACGGGAAGAGCACGCATACGGGACGAACGCAGCCGAGTCACCGGAAACACAAACACGGATGAACGAATTTGAAACGAGGCTGGGCATCGCAATCCCGTCGTACGATCAACACGGTGCACTGCCTCTTCCCATAAAATGTGCCTGCTTTTATGGCGCCTAAAAATTTTAACGGTTGACTAGTAAAGGAATCCATTTCATAGCTAACGCCGCTCCATGAAGCGAGCGTGTGAGCAACGATGAGGTTTTAGAGAGGTCGCAAACAAGGAGAAGGCTGAAACTTAACATCAGAAAGAGGCAGCTGAAGTTTCTGGGACACATAATGAGCAATGAGGGTCTGGAGAATCTGATACTCGCGGATCGAATAGAGGAAAAGAGAGGATAGGGGAAGCAGCGCGTGACATACCTGACGGGCTTGAGCAGGTGGATGACAGAACGTGGAAGCAGGAGAGAAGAAACTTGCTGAGAGCTGCAAGAGATACAGAGGGGTGGGGAGCCGTGATCGCCTACGTCCTGAAAGGACATGGCACATAAAACGAAAAAGAAAGAACACCGCTCAGCTCGCCATCCCGACTATCTCATGTGGAAGCTAGTTGAGACATTCTTTCATGGCCGGACGTTCCGGGATTCGCACCAACTCTGTTCTGGCAGGGCAGTCATCTGCTATCTTTCTGCAGAAAGAACACACTAAGGGCCGTCTCTTTTAGCGACTGGGGCGGATACCGTTATCAGTAACGATTGGCTGCTCCATCTGCATTTCGTTTCCGCTACGTACTTTTATTTCATCCGTCTCTCAAATGTAAGAATGAAGTTTATTCTGACAGCTATTTCCCAAGAACTGCGACTTTGTGAAACAAATTCACCGTTGCTTCCCTGAAAATATCAACCATAACCTCTTCAAGTCAATTGATTGGTATACTTTTTACAGTTTATCTATCTTTTGCAGGCTATCAAAAGCCGAGAAATATACGAGTATAAGAATTTTTTTCAGAGGTAATCATGATTTACTGGTACAAGGCCCACTAATTAACCCATAGCTGGGGGGATGTGGATTTATACCTTTCCCAAGTGTATTTTCGCTTAAGTAAATATAACACATCCAAATGGAATTCGAACTCGGCTCTCCAATCTCCAAATCCGAGTTCTTATCCATTGACCTGACTGCACATTCAAGCTTACAGCACCCGGCATTCCCAAGCTATCACACATCTAGATACTGACCAGGCTCGACGTTGCTTAACTTTGGTGGTCCTACAGAAACCGGTGTTTCAATGTGATACAACGATTAGCCTCTTCAAGTCAAGACTCAATATTTAACCATGTTACTTATCCCCATAATTCTCATTCCTTTCCATTCATATAGCATTTCTACTGTAGTGTTCTTCCTTTAGTGGCTCTTGTGTCTGTAATGGGTGATATTTAGTAAAAAAAATAATCGCTAATTCAGCATTCTTCCGAACATCATTTTTAACTTCAAGAACGCTAAAGTAAGACACTGTCTTCTTTTATGCACCGTATCCATTCAGGATGTGATCGATCACTGCTCTCCACTACATCCTGTCATTTGTAGCTCTTAGTAACGCTTTTTTTGTTGTTTTTACTATCCTTCCCAATTCCTGATCTGATATCATTCATCCAAGCTTGTTAAATAGGCTACTCGTTGTATGCCCTGTGTGTTTCAAATTTTCCAAGTATTCTTTCCTCATTATCTGTCCCAGAAATTCCATCTCTCTCTATATCTATCTATCTATCTATCTATCTATCTATCTGATTCTAAGTATAAGTGTCCTTTTTGTTTCCATTTTCCTTAAAACTTCCTCGTTGCTTACTGTTATGGTGAAACACACCTATTCTATAGTTAATAGACTCTCCCACCTAATATAAGTAGTAAGAGAAACGAGAGTCAGTCAATGTCGGATGACAGTAGTCGATAGTTAGTCGAATACGAAAGTAGTCAGCGACCACGTTAAGAAGCACAAGATCAACAAAAGGGAAGCTAGAGGCTGAACAAATAGAACCACAAGAAGAACCTACAGAAACTGTGACCCCATCCTTAAGAATCTCAAAGTGGAAGGTTGTTTCTGGTAACACTATGGAGGTACCAAAAAATAGAAAAGCAGATTGACAATATGATGTATTTGGTGAAAGGCGAAAAATTCACGTGCTTCTGCACGTGAATTTTTCGCCTTTCACCAAATACAAAGGCACATTAACCAGATCAGACGACGCTCTTCAGAGGTGGTTGACAGTGGTCCCGCGGAAGAAACGTCGATTGGGGTGATTTTCGATACGTTTGATCTAACAACGCCTGCAACGATTTTACCTGTACGCCGATTTATACGCCGATCCAGGAGAAAAAGAAAGGTAACTAATCATTTAAAAGTGGATCCAAAACGTAGGAGATACGCTACGATGTTGCTAAAAAAATGAAGTTGTTTTTTTTTGTTTTTTCTTCATATTTCCTGTAAAAAATAAATAAAAAAAACTGTTTTACTCCTACGGAGTAAAGTTTTAAGAGGAGGGTGTTATGGTGAAACACACCTATTCTATATAAGTAGGAGTAGTAAGAGAAACGAGGACTCTGTCGATGTTGAACAGTTAGTCGAATACGAAAGTAGTCAGCGACCACAACAAGATTAATCTGCGTAATACCTATTATATCATGTTCCTAACGTTTTGTATGTCGAACCTATTTAGGACCGATTTAGTACAAATACAAGCCTCCACTGCGAAATAACTCCACAGCACTTACATGGTCCGTCAATGTTATTCTCAGCATTCTTCAGCGTTACTTTAAGTCCCTTCTATATCTATGAGGATTCATAGAATAACTGACAGAGAGAATTGATATTACACAGCAGCTGATGAGGCATTTCGTTGTCTCCAACGAAATCCTTTGTATTTCATGATACTTTGTTTAATCCTTTCGTATTGCGGTAACAATTTTTCTACTGTTTGTTAAAACGGTTCTCAGAATCGTTGCCTCTTTTTGGTATGACGTTTTCCACTGACATGAAATGTGTTGATTACATTGAATTAATACCTAATGCTGCATTTCAGCTCTGACCACTGACTGGGTTCATTGACAGGGTGCAGTTTTCTTCCAGTCAAACGCCCGTACCTTAAAAATTACCCTTCAGACAGATCGTTACCCACGTGTGAAGAAAAAAACAATTTCAAACAGTAAATCAGATTTTATTTATTCTACTTCTATGGGCGAGTGAAGTAGAAATGAGGCGTAAGTGAGCGGGGAGATGTACAGTTGAGCGGCTGTTTTCCCTGTTCCTTCTCCGAGGTCCGCTTCGTCGCTTCTGTGTGGCTTTTCGCGGGATGGTCAGTTTTATAAATAACAATTTTCCCTGTCTTGTCATCTTCGTCTAAGAATGTAATTCATTTTCCATCCGTGACTTTCTCTTAGTCTGAGCCTCTTGCTCTGTACTTTGAAGTTGATTCCACTTGCTCATAACCATCGGTCGAAAGTAAATGTTCCGTATTCAGTTTGGCGACAGGTATCGCTGTTTTGAATGTAACAAAACCTCAGCTGACTCATATTGCTACACTATGTCTGCTGTTGATTCACTATGTCATGCCAGACATTTTCTCTCGTCAGAATCCATCTTGCACATTTATAAATCTACCATTTATCCGGGCATTGAATATTGTTGCCATATCTGGTTTGGTGCCCATATCATATATGTTAAGATTCTTGACAAAATTCCAAAAAGTGTCTGTAATGTAATCGATCCTGACCTGGCATTTTGATATCAGTCACGTTGGTAACATGTCACCAAATAATACTAGTTTGGTTTCATCTGGCCATACAATAGTATTTGTCTTTTTTACAGATATTTTCATGGCGATTTGGCTGATGAGTTTTCCTCATTAGTGCCTCAACTGGACGAATTTAAATGTACTACTAGATTGGCAGTTACGTCTCAGCGTTTTATTGATGAACTAGATAGGTGTAACCACATGGTCTATTCTAATAGTTGTTACAGTTTTTTGGATATATGTATGTACTAGTGAGCCAACCAAAATGAGCTGACTCATTTTACAGTCCACCAAGAGAATGGTTAACCAATCAGAAAGGTCAAAATATTCAATCCAACGTGTATAAAGGCAGCCATTCTGGGTTTTTTTTCCGAATATTTACTGCCAACCTCTGATATCGAAGACCTAAAGAATTATTGAACAGCTATATTTAGCTGTCCCCCCCCCACGTGGGGTAGCATGTGGCACAAGGCCGAGTTTAATGTGGGTAATCCGAGCCCGTAGGCCCGGCCAAAAATATAGCCTTCGAACCCGCCTAGGCGGGTTCGAGAGCTGTCAACCACCCCGAACGAAACCTTGCCCTTCGGCAAAGCTTCGTCCGGGTTCCTCCCTGCTAATGCAGAGAGTTAGACAGACGGCGGTTGCTGTAACTTTAATACAGAATTATTGAACAGCTGCTACTAGTGATATGGGTGTTGTTCCAATGAACACATTACGTACTGCACTGGATTCTATATGCAAAGATACGGCAAACATGGTGAACATTGGTTATGAGCCCAGATTACGACTCTATTTTGACGGAGACGAGTCAAAGTACGAATTATGGGAAATCAAGTTCCTAGGCTACCTTAGAATATAAACACTTCATGACATCATTCTTTGTCAAGATGACCAGAAAGAAGATGATGATTTTATGAAAAGAAATGTGACTGTGTTCGCCGAATTAATACAATGCTTGGATGACAGGAGTTTGTCTTTAATAATGAGAGAAGCCAAGGACAACGGACGTCGAGCCCTACGAATATTGCGTGAACATTACTTGTCAAAAGGTAAGCCTAAAATTATTGCTTTATATACTGAACTAACCGCGTTAAGGAGACGAGAAAATGAAACTGTAACAAGAGTTTCGTTTTTTGTATCTGTGGGGCTCCCTACCGATTTCTTCTTTCTCTTCCACATAAAATCTTCAAAATTTTAAATACACTGCCAATCGCTATCTTCTGTCCTCCTGAAACCTGTTCTTTTATTGTCCTTTTCTCCTCATTTATCCTCACTACAGACTTCTGATTCTCTTTCACACCCGGGAAAAAAAATTACGTCTTAGTGGCATTGCTGCCTTGCTTGAAGCGAACGGATTAAAAGATAATTTTTAATTCATGATTTTATCATCGCCACTTTGTCTTTCGCGTCTTAGGCCGATCCGCCTTCTGACACATAAATTTAAAAAAAAAAGCTATAAAAATTCTAATTGTTATAATGATTGAAATAAAATCTGTCACTCCTTGTACAATGTTCCAATTTTTAACACTCAAAACGAAGGTTATCAGAAGAAATGTCTCTCTATTCAAATAAAAACAAGCACTATACCGGGTGTAACAGCAAACTTGTCCAAATCACGTAACAGCAAAATTGTCCAAATGTTGGATTAAGATTCAGACATACCAAAAAATACCCCCCTACAATTACGCACAGTGGTGGGAACATCCTTTCTGGGGATGTTTTGCTGCTTTTAGACCTGAACTAGTGAGAGTACAGGGTATCATGCACAAAGAGCAGCATGTGAATATTCTTCAAAATAATATAAAAAGTGCAAGAAAGCTGTCATTGTGGCGTCACTAGGCGTTCCAATATGACAATAACCCGAAACACATCGCACGAATTGTTACAAAATACTTAGATGATAGCAAACTTAAGGTATTGGCGCAATCTGTGCAAAGTACTGACCTAAATCACAGGGAAAATTTATGGGCATAGTTGATGAAAAAAGTAAGTGAAAGAAGTATTTCGGATTTGGAAGTTCCAGAAACTATTGCCAAGAAAGAATGGAGCAAAATAATTATCAGTGTGTGTAGTGATCAATCAAAAACCAATTAAAGTCAATAATCAAGAATAAAGGTTACACAATTGAATGTTCAAAATAGGAGGGCCAACAACTTTGATCTATGTTAAATGATATTTGATGATTTTAGTACAGATGTTTGACATTAAAATAAAAAATTTGTTGTAGGTATCACTGCAGATTCTTACAATTTCATTATTTCACAATTTTTGAACAAATGCACATGAAATATCCATAAAATGTTTAGGTATTCAGCTTTATTTGTAATTATGGAAGAGTCGGTGAATAATTCTGCCCACAAATGAACATATATATATATATGTATATATATATATGTTGTAGCATACCTACGGCCGATAATGGGTATGTCTACATTCGCATAAATATAGTAGTAAATACTGTATGTTAGTCTGCAGATTCCAGGCAGACAGGATACCCAGACG